TACAGAGATCTCTGTACAGGAGGGACTTAAGAACCCCGCTTCTTTTCATCAGTACAAACTCTGCTGACTTGACTGGCATGTGTGAAATTAAAGGTAAAATACATCCAAACATTCCAGGGATGGAAATACGTGAGAATCTCTCCACAAGGCAACATTGCAAACAGTACTACAGCAGAAAGTATTAAAAAAAAATCCCACAAACCTGCTCAGATTCTACCCCACCCGCTAAAAAGGAATCGGCCATCAATTTTAGTTTTTACTTCATGGAATATGACACTGCAAAACAGCAATGCCCACGGCACCGCAGCAGGGTATCAGGTGATGGTGGTTTTGTTTGGTTTAGGCACAATAGTTAGTTACGTGGTGTGTTTCATGGATGAAACAACAGAATTTTCCCCCGTGTGAGCAAAGCACGATCCTGCAGGGCCCCTCCTGCTGCCCCGGGAGCTCTGGGCTGCTTTTCCCATGGGAGCAGGTGGAATTCTGCTAAACCCCCCCCAGTGCAGGCAGCCGGGGGCAGAGGAAGGCTCTCACCCAGCAGAGAACCGCAGCGCTCAGCAGCTCCTGCTAAGCCGGGCTTTACTCACGCTGCAGCTCAAAAAGCAGCTGACAAGCAGCATGAAGAGTCTTTTATCCTCTTTCTGGTAATTCTAACATGAGGTTTCCGAGCTGGCTAGAAAAATTCGCTTTAGAAGTTCTCCTTTCTAAACAGGAGGTATTTGCCTGAAAAATCAGTTTCAGATCAGCTTCGCTTTAAAAGGGAAGCGGTTACTGTAGGCTTAACAGAGAAAGGAGGTGAAAATACTCCTTCACAACTAAATTCCTTTACTGTTTCCAACAGGAGAGGGGGGGAAAAGGGCTGGAAGCACTCTAAACCAGGAAAGCATCCTCAGGGAGGGCATCCCACCAGGCGCTGAGCCTCTCTGCATCCTTCCTTTGCAGATGCTCAGGAATAAAAGCACTGGGAGGAACGGGGTTGAGGGGGGGGAAACACGAAGAAACCACACGCCATCAGAGTGCCTCAGTTGCTTACTACAGCAAACAGCTCCACGCTCTCTGACAAGACCGTAAGAAGCAAGCCAGCTAGAAAAAAAAAAATACATTTTTAGGTATGTCAGCCAACAAAATCAATCAGAGAGTCACCTTGAGGTTGCAGAGGAGCAGAAACATAAAATGAAGCTGCAGTCTGTTGAGACGTGGGTACCTAACCGCAAAAGAAAGTGATGGATTTACCACTGTCACCTTTTCCTGCCATGGTTAAAGGTGAGATACATCTAAAAGGCTTTTTATATTTAAAACTTTAAAGTAAAATCAAAATCCAGTGGGTTTTCTCTGTTTTAACCAAAGGCAAATTTAAGTAAGACATTTTAGTCTTTCGTACCTCACCGTGTTGCGCGTGCAAAGCGCATGAAGGTGGATGGAAGAGGCCAGAACATAAGACACTGGGTCAAATCCCAACTCAGAATGGTTTAACTGGTTTGACTGGAGTTAGGACATTGTCCTAGGACTTCCCTGACAAAGAGCTCTAAACTACACAACCATAGACATCGTAGAGATACAGTTTTGGTCATGGCATGAAAGATATCCTGGGGAAACTCAAGCCTAAGTTGTTAAACTTCCTTCATTGCTGTTTGTTTTCAAGAAATACCATCAGGTCATATATTTAATTTTTGTTGGAAAACCTCCTCGAGGCACTAGAGAAGTATAATGGGGGTGATGGTGGGAGGTCTGAAAGAGGGCATTTTCCCTACAATTGTTTGTTGGGAAGGAGAAGTAAATTTATTCAGACTTACTAGTCAAAAAAAACCCCAACGTATTTCCTTTGAATAATTTCTATTTTAATTTTTCTTACATAATGACAGAAATCCTTGGGGGAGGGGGCTGAAGGCGTGGTTTTGTTTGTTTGTTTGTTTAATTTTAACAGAACCCCCTCTCTTTCCAATATTTTATGGAACAAAAATAAAAACTGCATTGCAGTGTTTTTCAAAAGCTACAGTAAAACAAACACACAAAAACGTGTTTGGTTCTGGTATATTTTTGCTTTGTGTAATGTTTCTAAGAGCTTTTGAAGGCTAAAATACTGCTTTTCTAGAAGACAGGCTACTCTGATAGTGCCTTCCACGAGAATCAGGATTCCAGGCATTATTTGTTGGAGCTGAGCAGTCGCTCTAAACCAGTAAATAATAACAAATGGTACTGCTTTCTACTAAGTTACTGCAGAGGCATCCACTCCACACCAAGTTACACCAAAGCTCAACGAGCAAATAAAGAAGACAAACAACATGGAAAGATTTTCATGTTCATTTACACTTACAAAACTACAAATATCCCCAGGTGGGATATTCCTCTTTGGAAAAAAAGCAGCAGTGTGTGAGGATATATTTTGCTAGTTGACTAAAGCGTGTACCCAAAAAAGACCTGTTTTGCCCTGAAAGCCATACTCTAAGCTTCTGACTCGATTTTCGAGGTGGCAAATAACCCCCCACAATGATCCTGCCAAATTGAGTATATGTATCTAAAATAAATGTTCACATTTATTTCTATAAATAAATAAACACATTCACTTTTCTTGTTTCTAACTATTTTTTTAAACTTCCATGGCAGGAAATTGACAGTTACTGTCATTTTCCCTTTTTACCTTTGCTAAAGGAATTATCTGCTGTCTGCAAGATAAAAATACCCTTTTCAAAGCATCATAGTTACTGTTTTCCCAGACAACCAATATGTTACAGACCGAGATACATCATACCCTTGCACGTTCACTTTGGTGGGATAACAGAATTCTAAATTCTGCTTCTCTTAAAAAGATAACATCATTAAAGGATTTACCATAGATGTATTTTAATCTACTTTTAATACGTTTGAGGTTTTATTTATTTAAAGAGGGGGGGGGATTTTGCTGACATTTGCTTCTTTAGCATCCAAATGACTGTGCTACAGTCATGCCTTCATTCCAAATATTTGTTGACCAAAGGCAGCCCTCCATTCCTGACTGAGATTGATAACCAATTTGATTACCCTACTGTTTACAGACTGTTGTGGGTGTTACGACTTTAACCTTCAAATAAAGATGATTAATTTGGCTACACAGAAAACATTTAATAAAAACAAATTAAGAAAAACAAATTCGCCATTAATGTCCAGAATTGTTTTGGTTTTTTCCTCGCTTTTCCATAACTGTCTTGCAACTTTAAAGAAAAAAGTTGCTTAAAACCTCAAGGTTTTAATAAGAATCTTGACAAATTACGCAAGTAATCGTTCGTTCTTTGTATTATCAATTAGGTTTAAGATCTCTTTATCATAGTATAGTGTCAATCATATTATCAGATAACCACAGTAGAGCAATATATTAAAAAAAGGCACCAAAGACACGGGCTGGTTAGACAGTAAACCAAAAATATAACTCAAGTGCTCAGTCGTGTCTATGAAGACCCACCAAAAGCAGCACCAGCAGCCTCCAGAACGCGACCCCAACCCATCCACCACTGGCTTGGGAAGCTCCAGCTCTGGGAGGGGAAAGCAAAAAGGCACACTTGGGTGTGCAGGGCTGGGGAACGCGCTGCGCCATGTTCCACGCTCGGCCAAGGAGCCACTGAGGGGCCCCCGTCCACCCACGCTTTGTTCATTTTAAAGCCTTTCCTCCTGCCAACAGCCTTCAAACCCCGTTTTCTCCTACAAAACGGGGGGAAAAACGCAGTTTGGGTGCGCCCCCGCTGCGAGCCGGGAGCGACTTGATGTTTCAATTAATTTTTTATTATTTTTTTTAAATGAGAGGAAAAAACTTCACCTCGAGTGGGTCATTTTAACTAATGATGCTTATGCACCGCTTAGTTCCGCAGGGACCCGCCAGCACCGGCGTCACGGCGGGTCCTGCCACCGCTGCCCAGCAGCCACCAGTAGCCACCAGTAGCCACCAGCTGCCACCAGCTGCCACCAGTAGCCAGGAGGGACCGGCACCGCGCATCCCCCCGCCGGGACACCCCTTTATCCCCGGGGAATACCCCAGCATTCCGCAGCCGCCTCGGTTTTTGTGTCCCCCCCCGCAGTGCTCCGCGCCGGCGGAGGTTGCGGGGGGGGGGGGGGCGGGGTGCGGCGCGGGACGGGA